ATGACGTCGCAATCCTATCTTCAGTCACCGGGCGAGTCCATGGTTGATCCTTATGGCCAGCCTTGGATTTGGTCGCCCCGATACTCAATCCCGCCCTGCCCCAAGTTGTGTTAGGTTTTAGATCACAGGGCGGGCGAATGCGGAGTTGTATACTCAACGACGCTGATCCGATAGCTTTGACGAGATGACGTTACAAGGAACGAATTAAGAGACAGCTGTGTAACACAACTTTATATAAAAAATTCATACAATGAACATTCTACACACTAGATTAAAGAGCATGTAGATTTTTAGCACCTTCGCCCTTAATACCCCGTGTCACTATGTGTAGCCCCAGTCAGTAAACTTGTGTAAGGCTAAAGTCTAAGTTCTTCAACTCAGTGATTTCTTCGGGCCAACGAATTTGGTATTCTGGAACAAGGCTGGATTCTAAGTTCTATCTACAGAAGCTGCGCGGGGTTTGGCAAAGTGGGTCTTGAACCAACTGGCACGTGTCTCTCTCGCAAAACGCAATCCGAGCTGTCTGCTTCCTTCTCCTCTTAATACCCGGTTCTGTCTCTCGCTTCGCTCGTATGGATCCTCACGTAAACCCGGTGCGGGGTATGAGGTGATCGGGAAATTGATCGCCTGGCCAAATTTGGGGAGGTCCCTCCAGTGGTGGTGGCAGAATATCGATCCGCCCAACTCCTTCCATCTCGCGTGGGTGCCTCTGACCATCATCGCCCGAGGGGTGCAGCCAATTCCTCCGACTCCCTTGAAATTCAACCTGGGCCTTTTTCCTCTCTCGTTGTCTCCTGATGAAACCTGTCCCCTAAAGTGCCAAATTTAATTTTAATCCAAAATTTCCATCAGCAGGGAATTCTTATCGCGCCCTTGTATGGTCGGCTGCATCTGGGATTCATTACTTGTCGCTTCTCTACGACAGATTTTTGATCAACAAGTGACAAAAAGAGACAGTTCTTCTTAATAAATTTTATTGCGTCTTAGGTAGACGAAGGAAAATATAACTACAATGTCAGTTCTGTGTTCCAAGTTCTATCAGCTGACCGGATTTTGGCTAAGAGATTCGTTCTTAGAAGTCGTGGGTACTTGAAGTCGTTAAAATGTAATCTATTTTACTGCGCGGGTCGAGTGGACACAAAAGAAAATACTATCACTTAAGATTAAGTTGAACATGAACAGATGGCTTCTACACTAGTCGTCGTCGACACCCGAACACCGAAGTGGGGAAGAAAACAAACATCATCTCGCTTCATTCTCCTTGCCTTTCTTATCAGTATACTTTCAGTTTATTGAAAACAGCGTTTCTTTTGCTTTTCTAGTTATCAGTATATTTTCATTCTATCGAAAACATCGTTTTTCTTTCTTGTTTTCCAGTTTATTTTGAAAGCCTTTTTTCCCAATTTACCAGCGTCTTCGTAATAGTATCACACTTGTACCTACACATCTGTCAATTTAGGGAGCTTTTAATGTTTTGAAAACTATGTACAATTCGTATAATTTGAAATACACCTTAGAGAGAAGAAACAAGCAAAATGTGTCTAATACGTTTATTACTGAACTAGCTTAAAAGCTACATTCCGTACGAACTTTTAAGCTAGCTCCTACGGAGTACTAATTGAGCCTCCAGCCCCAAACTAAAGGGACCTATGGTCCAGCTTAGAAAAACAGCAATGGTAAATGGTAAAATTCACCCCATGGAACTTCAAAGCATCCCTTTAACTTTGATTCGAGCTATAAGTCCAATTCCGGTCAAAAGACCGATTTGCGCCGAAATTTCAATTCATGTCGAAAATTGAATTCTTCAAATCACAAACACCATGGAACTTCAATTGAGTTGACTTTTTCAAGTTTGCAGAACTTCATGTCATGGAACCTTTCAATTTAACTATGATTCCATGTCATTTTCAAAAAAAAAAAAAAAAAAAAAGTAAATAAATGAATAAAAGTGATTTCCTTAATTCACAAAATTTCGCAGATGTTTTAAATTGAATTTAAAACAAAAAATTAAATTCGCAAAGTTTTTGTGTTAATTTAAACTCAATATAAATTAAAACTCTTAACATCACTAATTTCTTTTTCAGTTATTTTAAAATTTGAATTTTTAAATGTTCCTCCTCATACGGACACAAAACCCAATGCTGAATATCCAAACACCCAGATGAAGGGCAGAAATAATATGTCAAGTGTGGCCCGAGCTATAGGGTATAGGACACACAGACGGAGAGACAGAATTTGCTGTTCTTGTTTATTTAAATAGAAAATATTAAAAATTCAAGCAGGGCGCCACAAAATACACAGTGCGGGGTGGGGGGTGGGAATAAATCAAATGTTAAAAGAGGTACTGGTAATTTTAGTGGTTTCCTTATAAGGAAACATTCGACATTCATTGACCGAGCAGCCTGTGCTAGCGCTCAATGAAATTTATACAATTTTTCTTTTAAAGCGTCTTTTCAAGGAAATAGATTTCTCAAGCTCAGTAACTGGTATTACACTTCCCAGTATTGACGGGGGTTTCCTTCCTAACCTTTGGTTTGAAGTAGTGTGGAATGTCAACATCTTGATTATGTCATTATTTTCATTGTGAGTTACCTACTCTATCCATTTCAGTTGTTGAAAATCCTCAATTGCTGTGTTTTCTTCGGTTCGAAGAAGAATGATCCCACTCTATGATTTACATGGTTCATTCTCTTCAAGTGATTTTTAATCATTCATCTGCGAAAGCTGATTGAGGAATCGGAGAGCCGAGTTCGAATTCCAGTCGAATCCATTACATTCACTTACGTGCAAAGAAACACCCTTGGAAAAGGTATGAATCCACTTCTCCCTCCAGCTATGGGTAAATAGCAGGACAGACTGGGTTCTATAGCCTTGGATGGCATCTAGTCTAAGGACAACTGCGGGGATCGTTTGGGGACCTTGTGGTACGCAGTGCACTAGGTCTCTGTATTCTCTTAACTTTCCCTTAAGTTTATAAGTGGAGGAGGCACGATGAAGTAGTGAATAGCGGCTAGGGATTGAGGAATCGGAGAGCCCACTTTGAATTCCAGTCAGATCTATTACATTCACTTACGTGCTAATACCCTTGGGAAAGGTATGAATCCTCTTCTTCTCCCTCCAGCTATGGGTAAATAACAGGACAGACTGGGTTCTATACACTTGGATGACAACTGATCTATTGCAGAGAGAAATGGCAATACTGCGGGAAAAAAAAAATCTGCCTCGTCAGTCATGTATCGAAAGATAGATGATCGCCTAAGCGTGTATCACGCATGGCACATACCTGAGTGACTGACACGCTCACGGAAAGTCGTAAATGAAATATTGATGAAGATTGATACATATGTAGACATTAGGATTACTTATACAAAGATGAGGCATGGTGGAGTAATGGATTGCGGCAAGGAGAGCCGGGTTCAAATTCCATTCGAATCCTTTACATTCACTTACGTGCTAATACCCTTGGGAAAGGTATGAATCCTCTTCTTCCCCCCACTCCCTGGTTCTGTAGCCTTGGATGTCAACTGATCTACCGCAAAAAGAAACGGCAACCTACTGCTGGAAAAATCTGTCTCGTCAGTCATGTATCGAAAGACAGATGATCGCCTAAGCGTATATCACTCATGGCACATAACTGAGTTGTATTCAGTTGACTGTCTAGAAATTTCTGAATGGGTTTAGCTATTTTTGAACAGGACTAGAGTTTTCAGCTTAAATGTTTTGGTTTTATAGCAGTTTACGGTGTGGGGGCGAAACAACCCACGGGGAAGGAATTTAAATCGGATATTAAGGTTTAAAGAAAACCGATTCTATCTTTTGATTCTTTGATAAAATATTTTTTTTCGATCTATTATCGTACCGTAAATATTTTTTGTTTTTATTTTAAATGTTTTATTTTTGTTTTTGTTTTTTTTTAAATTTTATCTGTTAACGATAATCTTGAGCAAACATCTTCATCACTTCTTGATTGATAACATTTGCACCTGAAATTTTCAGCATAAAGGAGAAGAAAAAAAACTGATTCTTGAAACAGGCCATTGATGTAAGTTTTATCTTCGAAAAGGAATTAATTTAGAGGCTGATTTTTTTTAAAGATTATTTCATTTTGCCTCAAATCAATAGAACCAATCAACAGGTTGATCGAAACATTAAATATATCACTAGAAATTATTTTTTCTCTAATTTCACAGCATATTTTCTTAAGTTAATTTTGTGCGCATAAGGCAATATCGTAATACTCTGTAAAAATAAAAAAGGGAGTATCTACATATATTTAAGCAATTGTCTGATACCACAGAACCGCATATTTTCACTTAACATAGGGTGGACCAATCAGCGCCTTCAAACACGTACGTGTGGCACAACACGTTCATGGCAACATCAGACGGGGTATGAGTACCCGCAATTCATGTCTTATGCAGACGGCACAGGATTTTGGGATTGGTCAACACCCCATGGATAATCCAGAATGTGCGTATAAATACAGTGACTCGTGGTTTTCCATTTTGGACAAACCACGATCGGTTAAGCATCTGTACATCTTAGAAGCAGTATAGATTAACTGCATCGACTGTTTTTGTGGCGACAGAAGGAGCAATTTAATCGTTCTCTTTCTCTACTGTGTGACCTGTGAGTATATTTTCGTTTTTAACCTCACTGAAACTGTTTATTCTAGATTTTTTGCACCCTCACTTAAAAAAACAAAAACACACACTTCCTTTTTAATATTAAATTGTATTTTAATAGTAATCCCACGCCTTCTCCCAGGATGTCTGTTATCCCGCGATTCTTGTTACATAAAACTATTCACCAACGATTCTTTTGATGATGCGTTGGCCGGAAAAAAAAAGGTTACCTTTTCAAGGGAAAAATATGCGGTTTTATCTGTTTAAATATAACTCATTTCCGAGCACATCGGTCTGCTAGGCAATCATTGTTTGTAGACGCCTGCTCAGGCACATGTGTTTGTCCAACGTCTAGAGATTTATCCTGTGGTTTTATATTGTAACTATGCTGAGTAGATCTTAGTTACAATTTCTGGAAGGGTGCGAATATGCCAGTGTGATCGTCAGTCTAAACAGGGTCAGTACATTCAGTCTCGGTCACAATGACTTGTGACTCCATGCTAGCACACCCATTGTTGGTTTCCCCAAACGGTACTGTCTACCAAATTTCAATCACAACGCTTGGATCAACCCATGGTATGGTTTTTAGTCACTTTCCAATGGTGCTGCATATTGGAACTGCCTATCCAGTCTGATGATCACCTTCCTTGATTTTTTTTTTTTTAAATATATATAAATACACACACACGGTGGCAATAAAGTCACTATACAGTTACTTACAATAAATAAAATTTTATATATATATATATAAAAAGACTATGAATTATGAATTGTTCTTTACCAAAAGTGTTTTGTCCTCTGATAGACTTTATCAATATAAATGTAAGGATTTTATTTTGTATCAAGTATTTATAAACAGAAGTGAAAAATATCGTTAGGTTTTGAAAATTTTTAAATTTAAGAAATTTATTAGGCATTAAATTACATCACTTTGCATCCTCCATAGTTTACCTTGACTTTCACAGTAAACCTGAAGAATATTTATGAGCATTCTTAGATTTAAAAATTTTGAAAATTTAATGATTTTTTTTTTTTCTCCACTTCTGTTTATAAATAGTTGGTACAAAATAAAATCATATTTACCTTGATAAAATCCAGAAGACGAAACCCAGTAAACATTTTCCCTTTATTCATACACACATAGTAAAATCCTGATGTAGATACATCTCCCACCCTGGGCCTCTGCTATCTCTTGCCGGTTTACTGTCCACCTACGTTATATGTACTTTCATACAGCAGCCGGTATACCTGGCCTCAAAGGGGTAAAATGATGCTCATTTGGACCAAAGTTAAAGGACAAAAGAAATCAGTTACATGGCTGCAGTGTTCGTTTTGACAAAGTCTGTGTTGATTATGTAATGAATGAACAGATAAATCCATTAAGAGAACTGATTATCTTTATAATTGCCTGGTCCACCATCTTAACCTGATCATAACTAAGATGAGTGTCTGTGAGAAATGAATTCTTTCTTTTCTTGAAATGGTAAAGTGACAAAAAAGCAGTTAATTTTGTATTCCAGATTGCTAAATGTTTGACCAATGCACACTTCTCTCATGCCCTTAACTCAAAGGCGGAAATGCGCATAGTCTAGAAAAGATTTTAAAGTAAGATATAAAATAACATCCGTGAGAAAGAAAAAAAAAAAAAAAAAATTGAAAGGATTACAAAAATTTTCAAGGTCACACATACACAAATAAAAAAAAAAAATTTATTTTTATTAAATTACAATTACTTTGACTTAAGTGCCTCTTTCTCAACCCGGAGAAGCATAGTACTGTTAAACCAAAAGGCTGAGTTAGGATGGGAGTGATTACATCAAACAGAAATCATGAGGGTCTGGTAAACATTTAGTCATAGTGGTGTTAGGAATCATTAAAATGAAGTGTGTAGGTTTGGATGTGGTGATTAAATAGAAATGTGAGGTTTGTGGACGTACATTAAATAAGAAGTGGTAGGCCGGTTTATAGTTTGTTCAACACTTTATCAAACCTCAAGTGACTTAAGGCTTTATTTTACCCTGAATAAAAATTTTAAACATTTTTAGGTTGAATATCTTCAAAGCAATAAATTATTAATGCTGAAATATAACAAGAATTATAATTTCAATTTCTTTTATTCAATATGATTGGGAATTGTAAAAAAAAAAAAAAAAAAAAAAAAAAAAAAAAATTAAGCCATTTACCAAAAAAAGAAAAAAAAAAAAATTATATATATTGCATTGCTAAATTTTCCCTGATCAATTTTGAGATTTGACATTGCAATGTTATTGAACAGTCAACCAAATGCAAGGAATGTTTGAAATAATATCATCAGACAAGTGGTGCTTTAACAAGAGAGTAAGGTGAGAGTGAGGGTGAGAGAGAAGAGAAAGCGGGGGAATACAAAAAAAAAAAAAATACTTTGTTGAACCATGGAAAAGTACCCTATCACTAAAGCCATGTTTAACAGATAATTTAAGATCCAACAATGTTATTACAACTTTGATAATGGAGTTCATAGTAGCCAGAAAATGAGACTTGTATATAAAAAAAAAAAACTCCCAAGGACAAGGATTTCAAATTTGTGCTATCTCAAGTTATACAGTGAAGTGGTCATGATTTGAGGAATTATTTGAGCTAGCATCCTCATTTTGTTATTTTTAGCTGGTGTTTTAGTCACCTTCTTCCAATGAAAATCACATTCAATAATCTTCAAAATAAAATAAAGACTTATTAAACTGGACAAATCTTCTGTAACTTGACAAATCAAAAAGTTCAAAACTGAGGAAAAAAAAAAAAAAAAAAAAAAAATTATCAGATTTTGGAGAGGAGGAAAAATGAAAAAGGATCCAGGGGTCAAAACTGTAGCATAACCAAAAGAGGATTTTTTTCAAATTAGTATTTGAATTTAGAAGACATGAAGAAAAAAGTACAATGAATGAAGCTTCTATTGTAACTTTTGTCTACTAATCAAATAACTAAAACAACCAATTAAATTTGAATATATATTGGTCAAAACTTTTGTCTGTTTTTATAAATAAATTTTCTACTTAACTTTTTGGCCAACCCAGTAATTCCCAAAATATTGTTTGAAACTTAAGGACATGTCATTTTCCTAATTCCAAAATCCAGACTAATATCCTAATCCAAACTGTTTTTAATGACCACATTTCAATTGCTATATTCTTCTGGAGGATAATTTTATGAATAGCAGCTGTATTGAATGAATACAGGTGTGAGCTAAAGGGACAACAAAACTTACATACGAAAAACACTGAATAAAATTCAATGCTATGTGAATGTTTATGATCATTAGAGCCAGAAGAATTGACCACAGTGGCCTTCCATAACTGGAAAATGGTATTGTTAGCATTTAGTACATCTCATAAAAATTAGATTCAGGACATTAAGGCTGATTTTTTTTTTCTTCTTATCCCACGAGATTGACTCATAAAGTATCTCTACCTGCAGAAATTTTAATACCAAGATCTGCAACTATTTATAAAATTAAAGTCATCTTATTGGATAAATTTTACAGTTGAATGATTTTTTTTTTTTTTTTTTTTACATACGGCTTATCAACTTTTTGCAGGTTATTTAAAGCCACCAAATAATTTTTTTTTAATTATGAGAATTTTTGGGAGATAATCATTTGCTGATACAACTACTATTAATTACTCCATAGCTGGAGGGAGAAGAGGTGGATTCATACTTTTGCAAAGGGTATTTGCACGTAAGTGAATATAACGAACCTGACTGGAATTGGAACTCAGCTCTCTGATTTCCAATAACAAGCTATTATCTATTGCACCATCCATGCATCCAAGCTTGCATCACCTGGTATTCCCAAGCAGTCACTCATCTAGGTACTGACCAGGCTCAAAATTGCTTAGTTTTGGTGATTGTACAAGAACTGGTGCTTCAGAAGATGATAGCAGCCAAAATGAAAATACTGCTCTAAATATCTTATGCTTGCTCTCATCATCATCAGTCCATGTGTGGTTGTAGGGTTGCTGCGTAACTATCCAATCACTTCTCACCGCAAAGAGTTTCATTCAGGTGTAGCCTAATTTAAGGCTAATCTTGGTCACAGACACATGGTCATTAATTCTATTGGTGGAATCCTTTGCTCTGGCTATAGATTTCAGTCTAGGAAGCTCTTCACCCAATTATGGTGGCTACATCCATAGCTATGGAGCCCAGCCTAGCTAGTGGTGCTAGATGGGCACTGACATGCCAAGGAGGTTCATCTGTCCTTTAACAAGTCTCGTTTTTAACCATGTCAGATGTCTAGCCATTCTCCTCACCAGAAAATCCTGGTGAGAGAGCCAGTTTTATGTAAGGTCCCTCTACGAGTGGTACAAGTATTACATAACCCAGTACTATGCGTCACATGACCAGGTTATCGGTAAATAAACTAGACCAAACATTTTTTTCACAAATATTTAATAAATATCCATGAAGGATGGCATTTGCACTTGTCAGCAGATTTTAAAAAATTAAAACAAATTTAAATTTTCAAATTTCAGTTAGGTTGACATCTCAGAGAATTTATTTTCTTTTTTTAACTAACATGATTTTTGAAAAATAGCAGATTGGTGGAACAATCTAACCATTCTTAAAAAAACAAAACAAGGGTAAAATTTAGCAATAAGTGTATCTTTTATGATTTAGTAAGGGAGGCAATTTCATCTTAAGATGGAATATGACAAGCCCACTTGATCATCCAACAATTTTGTTGGAATTGGAATGGAAGACAACTTATTTGTGGAGTCTCAAAAATGGCTTTTTGCTAATCACACACACACACACACATCAGGAAAGTGGGTGCCAGATTATTTTCCATCGCACAACCTCTTTGTCAGACAAAATGTCACAAGCCTCTCACTGCTCTATCCCTATTTCTATAGAAAGTGTTCAGATGAAGTACATTCCTTAATTCCACCAGCCCCAACTTTCATGTGTAAGACCAGCCATACCATGGACATGAAAACACTAAACTATGTATCAACCACCTTCATTTCCTTCAATTCTATTGAGATGCAAGTTCCACTTAAGCAGCTTCTTCCCACAAATTGCCATTTTGTGGAATCGACTTCCAAGAGGATGCTTCCCTGATCACTACAATCTTAAAAAATTTTAAACTTTTAAATTAAAAAAAAATGTTTGGATATATAGTCTCACGAATTTCCTTTAGTTTCTTTTTTTATATTTCCTTTATATTATTTTTATATTTATTATTTATTTATTTATTATTTTTATATTTATTTTTATATTTATTTTTATATTTTTCCTTTAGTTTCTTTTTTTTATATTTTTATCACTTTTGTTATTAAGTATCTCACATTATGATAATAGATCTGCTGAAAAAGGTGAAATATTGTAGGAACCTAGACACAAATTTACCGTGGATGATCTAACGATCAAAGCAATTTCTATACATTTCTGCCTTAGTAAATTACTTACTCTTTGAATTAAAGTAACATTAGGAAAAAAAAAAAAGATCAGACTCATTATAGTGACAATAATGCATTCAGTGTGCTGCTTTGTAAATGATTCCATGTGTTCATAGTCTTTTATTTAAATTTCTTGAGGTTTCTCCTATGCTTCCTTTGTGGCAATTATTACAGGTGATAGCGTAAATTCAAGTTTTAGCTTATTATTTTGTTGTAAGTCTTTCACTGTTTTAGAAGTAATCGTAGAAAATTTTGTTAAGTGAAGATAAATTGTTTTCACTTGTAATATGATAGAGTTAGTATGTATAGATGTATATATAATTTTCTCATTAATTCATTGGGTACACATGTTTGAATTTCTGTCTCTGCTTTTCTTAAACAATGAAATTAATAACAACTGGCCCAGATCAAGAAGTCCTCCAAAAGAAAGATTATGTTGCCTGTATCCCCTTTTCCATCAGTGAAATTACAGGGAAAGCATACCACTTTGGCTATAGGAGATAAACTTGTTCAAGTATAGTTTCTCTAGTGGGACTTCTTTAGGCCAGTTGTTATTAATTTCACTGTGTAAGGAAATTAATAATAATAATAAATTCCCAAAAAGACTCCAACGTCTGTAAAGCTCTTGCATGAGAATGCGTGTAACAAACTTCATAAGATTTGCCGCTTGAATCTTCCATCCTCCTTAAAAGTGCAAACCTTTTGAACATTAATTGAACCAGTCCTACTGTATGGATCAGAAACTTGGACATTACCTGTTCGTCTTGAAAGACAGCTGGATGGAACATATACAAATCTACTTAGAAAAATCCAGAACATCAGTTGGAGATCCCATGCAATGTTGGACACAATTTATAGAGAACTGAGAACTCTCTTAAGCTCAAACAAAATTGATTATAGTTTGCCGGCCACTGCCACCAAGCAGACAGGAAAATTGTCTCATCTGTACTCCTATGGCAGCCTTCTGGAAGTGTCTTCTCATGAAAATTGACGTTCTCAGCCACCATAGCTCGGGACTCAGGATTGGACATTAGGGATAGCAATGCAGGACTGAACAGTGTGGAAAGAAATTGTCAACAGAGTTCCGACTGGCCATAGGGAGCTCAAAGGATGGTGATGATGATGATGATGATAAAAGGCAGGGATAGAAACTCAAACATGTGTACCCACTGAAAATAATGTATACGAGAAGATGATATATACCAACTACTTTAGGTATACTACAAATTTATAATAACTCACACAAATTGTAATTTTTTTTTTGATGCCATTAAATGTTACTAGAGGAATATCTGTGACTATATCACTCCACTAAATGCACTGGCCACTGTAGATATTGACAGTGTGATCTGGCTGATGTGTGGTATATCCGGTCTAGATAACATTAGCAAGATATAAATGTTCAAACTTTAACTTCAGACAATAAAATAAATTAAAACCATGTGTTTGCATAGATTTCTTAATTTTAGGTTTTTGTAAAGTAAATGGGTTCATGGAGTGAAATTTTGGCAGATTCTGTAATGTTAAAAAAAAAAAAAAAAAAAAAAAAGAAAAAAAAAAAAAAAAAAAAAAAAAAAAAAAAAAAAAAGAAAAAAAAGAAAAAAAAATTAGCACCCTACTACCTCATTCCTCACTCACTGTGATTCTCACCTCCCACCAGGGAGGCAGTATTGCCCTTGAGAATCCCAGCTTTAAAAATCCTATAGCATAAACAGGATTAGTCTGGCTATAGAAAGTCAAGAGAAATGAGAAGAGAGAAAAAAAAAAAAAAAACCTAACCTAAATATGATGTTAGCAGTGAGAAAGGAATATATACAAATTTAGGTTAATCTCTGACAAAGTCAAAATAATAAAGTTAATTGGTGAAAAAGTGATTAGAGTTGCTTGTTAGCCACAACACTGTGACAGCAGCCGGAGGAGATGTTTACAAAAGTTTCATTAATGGAATGCCAGTTGAGTTTTGCTAGATGAACTTAGCTTGGCCTATGTGGAGCACCAAGTAGAAGTAAATTTACTAACCATGGCTTACAAGATGAGTTTGCTCAACATCAGGATAAGCACCCACAAAGGCCACATGAATGACAAGATTAACTGCCTATACATCATGTGGCGAAAGAGAAAAAAAAAATAATTATGGCATCATCCCTCCAACTGGTGACAAATTCTAATGTCTTGCTTCATGAGACTAAATAAAAAAAAAATGTTTACTAGAGAGATATTTATTATATACGTTTTTTTCCTTTTTTAAAAATCAAACCATTTTTAGTAATTTTAAATATTAAATTTTTAATTGACCTAATTTCAACAAATCTCAAGATATTTGACTGGCAGCTGACAGGACTGGGTGACGTGCTAACTGAGAAGCCTTAATCGCGGTCTGTTTTAATTTAAGCTTGCCCTGTGATTTCAATTCAGATGTCTCCGGAAGATAACACTTCTCAAGAATATGTTGAAAACCCTGGTTGGCTTTAGTGACATTTTTCTTATATCTCTCCAGTCCAAATGCCTGGATGGCTCTAGAGAAACCAAAAATGGTAGAGTTTATGTATGCCCACCTCTCACAAACTGTCCAATGATTATTCTCAGGGTTTGTCAGGTAAACACATTTCTCCTCCAAGAGCTAAAAAAAAAGAAAAAGAAAAAAAATGAAAGTGAAACATTGCTAACAATATAGTTATAATTAAAATAGTTTCTTCATAATTTTTCTTAAAAAAAAAAAAAAAAAAAAAAAAAAAATATATATATATATATATATTATTAGGCAGCATATATTTTATATATAAAGAAATAATCATACATATACATAGAATCAATCAGCAATATTAATTACTTAATTATATGAATAAATAATTAATTAAAAAAAATTACAGCCTGATGATGGAGACATGGTCTTCGAAAGTACTCGCTTATCTAAAAAATATACACTAGAAACATCTGACAACAGTTTTATAAATGAGGATCACATCATTCAATGGATTAACAGTATTTTAATGCATACATTATGTTCTACTAGTGAAGTGATTTCGCCATTAATCGTATTAATATTGTTGATTGATTCTATGTATAATTATTTCTTTATATATATATATATATATATATTATATGTGTGTGTATTCAATGTTGTCAAAAGCAAAATAAAAAAAATACTTTTAGTTCTCATTATGGATAGTTATTTTTTTTTTTTTTTTTTTTTAAGTCTAATTAAAGCAGGGGCTTTAAGACCAAAAATGGCCATTATTTACTGAGGGAGAGTTGCAGGTCTCCTACCAAGGGGCGAGCAGATTGACTCACATGCAGGTTCCCAACTAGGGGTTCACAAAGATGAATTTAATCAGTTTGGTGATTTTAAGTGATAGGACATGTGAGAAGGCAAAGTGTTAACAAGCAAGATTTTCTATGTATTTTAACTATTTGTGTTAAGTTTAAAAAAAAAATAAAATAAAATAAAATTTCAGTTATTCAGATAAGCTCTTTTCTATGGTATCCAGAGTTTTTGAATTTAAGTGCATTACTAGACTGGTGATGAGTTCTTATCAATTTACAGTTGAGATTGCTCAATGTAACTGAAAGCTCTATGCTAAGTTTTTCTCACACTTCTAAATTGTGGAACTCTTTCAGCGCCATGTTTTCCAGCCAACTTTGACCTTAAAAAATTTAAATACAATGTCAGTCACTATCTACCGTCTTCCTGATTACTCTTGTTTTGTTCTCACTCATTAGCAATATTTCCATTTCCTAATTTTCCAACACCCTGTAACCCTTTGTGTCTTAGTGTAATTACTGCCTTGTTTGGAGTGAACACAATTCAAAAAGCGAAAAAAAAAAAAAAAAAAAAAAAAACACACACACACACACATAAATGAGAGAAAGAACAGATGAAAATAAATTCCTCTGTTTGTAGCATTTACTTTTAAAAAAGTGCTTAATACAAAATAGACTAATATATTATTAGATTAGAAAACATTGAAATCACTAATCGGCAAGTTTTTGTTCTAATCTATCATAATATATATATATATATATATATATATATATTATATATGAGTGTGTGTGATAACCATGTCTATATCATGTTTTCGTAATTTGTGATTTTAAATTGGATGCTAAATCCTTTCATCTTTATGTAGTTGATAGTCATTTTCCTTTTGCCTTCCTCAAGGGATTTAAGTCAATCATTATTGGCCTCTTAAAGAAAAAAGAAAACCATTCTAGCAGATTTGCCATAAATTGTACTGCTAATCTTTGAGAATGTTAAACCAAAATTTCATATTTTCAAATTTTATGACTAATTTTTAGTGTCACAACTAAACTTTTTCCACTGTCATACATTTTTGCGTAAGCCAATAATTTTTTTTATTGAAAGAACTTTGATTTGCCAAAAGAAAAATAAAGCAAATTAAAAAGGTTTAAAAAAATTTAAGTTTCTTAATACAAGCAAATACCTATCTTTAATTAATTTAAAGACTGACGCCATAATATTAATTCAAACTTAATTTTGGGGATTTCTTTTGTGATCTTCTAAGAAAATTGTTCTTGCAAATATTGTATTGAATAAAATTTTGTCATCACTTCAGTAAAGACATTACTTTGTAAATTTCTGTATTAATTTTTTGAGAAGTCATTATTCCAGTGTGATTATCATTGTCATGAAGGACTTCAATCTTCAATTTAATCTTATTTAATTTAATGAATGAATGAAACGTTTTTCCCCAAAACTTCAAGAATGTTAAACAAAATGTACCTGTAGGGAGTTAGAGGGTACAACAGCTGAAACATGATAATGACAACCAAGATGAGGAAAATAATTCAAATAAATCCCTGTATAAAGACATTTTAGAAATTTAGACAGAAAAAAAAAAAAATAAATAAAAGAACTGAAGGTGAATATTGGATTCTTTTGTCGGAAGATAAAAATACTAACCATGATTCTTTGTAAGCCAATGTTACGGGTGTATGTGGTGACAGTTTTAGCAATGGGGTCAACAATGGATTCTTCTACAATGCAGATCTGAGGAGGGCCACGGACAAATCGTTCACCCCATTTAGGGACAGGATTAGTCTTTGTTAATAACCGCTTTGTGTAGAGTTTTTTATCAATGACTTCTCTTGAAATGACGTCTTCTGTCAGGACATGTTTACTGTAATAGAAAGAAAAACAATCAGAGATTAATCCTGGGTGGTTAAGCTAATGCCTTTTGCAGATGCCTGCTCAGGCACATTGTTCAACACTCATAGTGATAATCTGTGGTTTATAATGCAGCTATTCAAGTTACAGTTTCTGGGAGAGAGCAACATAATCCGGCGTAAGCAACTGTTTGAATAAAGACGGTATGCTCAAACCCCTAGACATTTTTGTGCCGACAAAACAATTGACAGTTTTGAAATAGTTCCATAGATCCAATTCACTTTTAGCTTGGGTCAACCAATGGTGTGATTTTTCTGGCACTACGCAACATGACTGCTAGTTACAATCATCTTCTGATGCCGATATTATCAAGGAATTACCTCTAACAAATCAACTGTGGTGAGATTCAGACATGAGTCTCATTGTTGGAATGCAAGTATCCTAACCATTCAGCCAGGGTTGCTCGGTCACTCCCACCCACATAATTACTTGATGTTATTGGTAGTGGATACATGTGTTTGGGGTAGACATTCTTTTGAGCCCGTCTATATTTCTGAGATGAGGTATTGTATTTATTTACACTATTTACATTGTTTGGACTGTTGTCCTCATCTTTGTTGCCATGTTCACAATGTTTTGGCTGTTGTATGCTCTGGCCTTCTTCAGGTTTATTTCATCTATGGATGTAGATTGTTCTAGTTCCACATACCATGCCTCTAACGGATGTCTCGGTTATCCCTGTTTAACTCAACTATTCAGGTTTTTGTAAATAGTGTAAATAATCGTTTTTTTTTGTTTTTTTTTTTAAACTGTATAAATTTACATCTACAGGCCTGTATATTTGAGAGTCTTAAGAAAACATGCCTTCTGGCAGAGTTTGATCTTTCACTTTTCTTGTAGGAGAAACACCCTGGGCTGTGGAGCTGGAGCACAAAACCTTTGACTTAGACTCCTCTATTTTTGGCACTTCCAACTTTGATTCCTCATTATGTAAATTAAGTGATTATGGCCTACAAATCTCAAAGCCTATGCATATGCTCCTAACTTGTGTAGGCCTATATCATTATAACTGGTTTATAACAAAGAATAAAGATATTGTGGCTTTTATATCTTACCTAGTCATTAGTCAATATTTTCTAACAGAATTAGAGACAAAATTCTTCAAAAGATATAGAAGAAATAACAAAAATAAAAATGCTATAATGTAAGACATTATATATATATATATATATTTACAAATAAGAAATAAATACAGAACAAAAATAAAACTACTTTATAACAGAAGATGAAATATAATCTTTTACAGGATGTAAAAGACAACAAAAATAAAAATTCTATAATTTTTTTTTTTTTTTTTAACATGTATAGTTTTGCAAATACAAAAACTACAGAAAATAAAATGACTTTAAAATGAAGTCGAGATAAATTTCTTTAAAAGGAAATAGTAAATATACAGAAGAAATAATAAAAATAAAAATTCTATAATGTAAAACTTTTTATATAAAGTGTAAATTCAACTGGAGTTGGAGTCAGCATAGTTTTACCAACTCTAAATCCAGTGACCCCTTAATTGCTTTCGATTCCATGATTCCAACTCCACAGCTCTGGAAACAATCATCTAGTGTTGTTTTCTGAGTCATCCTAGGACCCACCACACTACTAAATAAAACAGTATCAATGAAAAAGGTCATTTCTTTTTGGTATTCATTTTTATTATGAGTGGCAGCTTGTTTTCTAAGAGGCAGTAGAAGGACTGACGTGACAGGAACACACATTAGCTCAGCGTCACTTGCAAACCTTGCTTCAGAATTCTTGAGACTGTTGAATTTGCATCATTTTGGTCTTATAATCAAAACCCAGAGAAGGCAATCCATGACTGTCAGAATTCCCCACCCACGAGGCACTCTGGCCAATTACTGACCATTCTGGACCTGGTCTTTGCATTCTGTAACACTGGCCTGGTTTACTTTTAACCCTTTCAGCCAGGGAAACTTTACAGTCAAGCAAAATTGAATTATCTTATTTATAAAAGCATGACAGGTTTAACAGTGGTTTCCCCGTACAAAAGGGACACATATTTAAACACTACAGAGTACTGCTGTCATATATGGAGATCCTGCTATTCATCTCAAGGTTTTTGACAAAATCCAAAGAAAGATTTGCAGTGTAATTGACCCTGACTTGGCATCTCAAATTCAATCACTTTCTCACTGACAGGACATGGCTTCCTTGTCTTTTAATGACATCTGCTTTGAGGAACTTTTTCCCCTGGTGCCCAACTACATGAATTTAACTGCACTACTAGATTGGAATCTAGGTCCCACTCTTTTACTCTTGAAATTGCTAAATGCAACTGTTACTTTTACTCCAAGAGTTTCTTTTCTCACATTTGCCGCCTGTGGAATTCCCTTCCATTTCCTTGCTTCTCTGATAACTATAACCTTCAAACATTTAAATGCAACATCAATCATCATCTTCTATCTTCTTGAATCCCATTCATCTTTTATCCCTTCCTTAATCCCCCTAAACCCAGTTTGATAATACAATTTCTCACACATCCTTAGGAGATAAGTAAATAAATTCCTTTTAAGTCCACTAAATTATTTGAGTTTCTTAGGAAATTCATCTCCAGTCAATCTTTGAGTCAACTTAGGAATCCTGAAAATTCTGACACTTGTCTCCAGCCATCTTTGAATTGGCAAACATGAAATTTTGTCAAAGATTTTAGATAATCATAAAAGCAGTTCTTTAAAGAAGCTGACCACACAAAAAGCTGAATGGGTGATCTCTTGTTCTGGAACACAAAAGAACGGATAAGGATGGTCAGACCCCAGCCAGTATCCATATAAACAGAAAGAGACAGGAAGTCACTAAGTAGGTGTCCAGCAGTAAGAGAGTAAGTGACCAGCGGCCATTGATGAAGGAACTGGCAGTTAGAGAAGAGGAAACGATGAGCAGTGAGAAATCAGCAGCTGCCTAGACAGTGAATGTAAGGGTCCTCTTCTCATGGCCAGAAGTTAGGGAGATAATAGTTCAGCAGAAGGAAAACATAGATGACTAAGTGAGAATTCATATTGTTGTTATTTCCCAACCAGAGACTCTTGAAAAGCAATTGTCTTTATTCTTTATTGAATTTGATTATAGCTAAGTGGACAAACCTGTAAACATAGCTAGCTGGGTGTGTACACATACAACCGATCTTGGATGTCACCATAGGTGCAGTGAATGACAGACGAGCATGACACATTGTCACACAAGTCGTCTTATCTCATTTTCACTCTCTGTAATCCCTTGCTTTGCTGCGGGGGGGGGGGGAATGATTAACATCTTCAAACCCTACTGGAAGGCACATTCTCATTAAGACTAATCTCAGAACAGCAGGCAAAAGTTTACACTAAGGAAAAAAAAAAAAAAAACAGATGTCTTTTCAAACATGTGCATTCACTAAATATATCATTTAAAGTAATAAGAAATATTTAAATTACTTTGACTGTTGTCTCACGTCGTTTCATATATTGTACCATTTGACCTTCATCAGGTGCTTGCCAACCTGGGTAACCTTTGAACCAAATCCTTTTTTTTTGTTTTTTAATCTACAAGGATAGAATATTCTCATTTAACTGATCATGTCCAGAGAAATGAGAAATCACAAAATTCATGAACAAAACTTTAATCCACTTAGCTACTGTAATGACGAGTTCAATCCCAGGGTCAGGCAGAGTGGATCTAGACAGAGATGAAATGGGGGCAAGGGATAATGGAGCTGTACTAATTGGCTTACGACTATATCACATTGAAACACTGGTTCCTGTACAATCACCAAAGTTAAGCAATATCGAGTCTGGTCAGTACCTAGAAAGGTGACTGCTTGGGAATACCAAGTGCTGTAATCTTCGATGTGCAGGTGGTGTAATGGATAATGTCTTGGAATTGTTAATTGGAGAGCAGAGTTCTAATTCTAGTTGGGTTTTATTATATTCACTTGTGCACAAATATCTTTGGCAAAGGTATGAATCTAACTCTTCTCTTCCCAGGTATGGGTTAAATAGTAAGATTTGTAATCACTAATCATTATTATCAAAAAATTCTTACAATCTAAATATATTTCCTGGCTTTAAATAACCTGCAAAGTGTTGATAAACCATAGAAAATGAATGAATCCATCAATGAGCTGTATTAAATGAGGAGATATCTCAAGAGATAATAGAACAAAATGCGCTAATCAACAAGCACTTGATTAATGACTGAAATGTGATAAAGATGAGGACATTAGTTCTCATGTAAATAAATCCTCATCCCAGAAATTCTGACAGTAATAAGAAAATGTCAGATTATAATAAAATCCATTAACTTAACTCTTTTTTATTATAAATGTTGAGTTTAGTGAGTACACATTGTTGGAGTTGTTATCCCTGTCTTTTTATTTTATTTTATTTTTTTTTCAAGCTTTAACATTCTGGAGTTGATTTTGTTTGCAAAGTTTTATCCTGCTACTGCAACTAACTCAGATCAAGGAATAACAGTGTGTTTGAAATTTGCAGTTGTGTTGTCATACCCTGCTATGGCAACAGAAAATGACCATGACTGAAATTAACTAGTGCAGTAGAGGAGCCTTGAAAAACAATGCAGTGGAAAGGAAAGTAATGAATAATGCAGAATGTTAAAGGTTAAACAATGAACAAACGGGCCAAGATCGAGAAGTCCTGCTAAAAAAAATGTCTCCTAACAGGAATTGCATCTGTACCAAATTTTTTTCCATCAGGAAACTTTTTTTTTTTTTTTTAAAGCTAATTACCAGTTCTGTCACAGTGACCAGCTTGAATTAACATTTTATATATATATAAATCAGTAAAAAAAAAAAAATCCTTTAAAAATTAGTCATTACATTTCAGATATAAAACTGAAGCTAGTAGATTCATAGAAGTCACAAGAAATGTTCTTTCCTTATATAGATAACTAGATGAATTTCCTGTGCCTTGCTGCATGTCAAACATTTTTTTGTAAGAAAATGGTCTATTTTAAAATCATTGTTATAATTTTGTGTAAAAAAAAAAATAAAATAAAATAAAAAAAATGATGCATTTGAATATTACTCAATGATCTTGCTGATGTGACTTCCATCTTCTGGCTTTCTCCTATATTTTGGATAGGAGTCATTTAAATTTAATTTATATCAAAGAAAAAAAAAATTAAGTTGGGAGTTTTGTGCCCCAGGGACTATAATTATAATGAGCCAAGTTCCTAGGAGTAATTCCCTTGTTCAAACTTAAATTCATATCAAAGCAAAAAAATTTTCATTGGGGTATTTGTACCTCCTTGGATAAGTATATTTCATTTTGATCAAAATACTCTTTGTAATGTAGTTTCAGAATATATATGGTTATGGAGGTCTATCTCCCAAAACCTAGGAGGAGTTCAATAACAAACAGAGACAGAGGCTAGAACTTGCTTTCAGTTCACATGTAAATCATTAGAATGAGTCAAAGGCAATGTATTTGTAAATTAGTAAAACCTACCTGTAATATCACAGGCGAAATGGTAATATCACAGTTCAACCAAAGGACAAGGATTATAAGCGAGCTTCTTACACCTACAAATCAGTGCACTCACCTGTAAGGATTTGGATAACGCTGCCAAAATGATGATGCAACTTGGTCCCAAGTAAACTTGAAGACTTGGATGCCAGTGTAATATTTGACCATGGTTCTCTTTAAAAAAAAAAAAAAAAAAAAATATTAATAATAGTGAAAGAGTTCAGTTCAAAATTTTCTTAGTAGAAACATTGGGCCCCCGATTTTCCATTTCCATTTTTGGTAAATTCCATTTTTTTATTGCTTTTACTTTTAGGAAATTATTTTTTCCATTTTTATAGTATTTTATGAGAAAATTGCAATACATTATGCTATAATTATTATTAAAACTGAAAACAAAAACAGAATTCAAACTTTTATTGCATATAAAGAAATAGCAAATATTTACAAATCTTTTTTAAATGTTAAAATCCAAGTCCAAAAATAAGTTATATGTAAAAATAAAAAAAGAAAAAAAGACTATACAATAAAACAATGGAATGTTACAGTGCATAATTATCTATAAGGTAGAACTTTTAATCAGAGCTTCCTTCTTTAAGAACACATTCAAATTGTTTTTGTTATTTAAGTAAAAATATTTAGATTGATTTATTGATTCATAATATAAAAATCACATTTAAAGTATCAACAGCAAATAACTTGAATCTCAATAATAAATATCTGAATATAGTCAAACATTTTAACTAAAGTTTTACAAAAACAAATCTAAATCTCCATTGTAATACAACCTTGTGAGTTGCTTGGTATTCTCAGGGGTAAGACTTTCATGTTGTTTATTGAGAAAATGAATGTTCAGCATCTATGCTGGTAATATTGAAAATTACATTAAAAACCCAAATTCTGTTTAACGATTCGGTGATCGCAGAAAATTTGTTCCCCTACAAACAGGATTCATTTCTAAGTTTGTCATCGTCAAATTTCTAGCTTAAATCACAATAGGTACCATTGTTCTTATTTAGCAACAATCAGTCAAATGTTTGTCTTGGTATACAGTATATAATTTTACCTTTCTCATCATTGGAAAAGCTCCAGCCATATCTCTCTTGGATAGAAAACACCAGCTCTATTTCTTGTGTGCATGTAAACCTCCTGATGAGGGAACTGAATAATAACAAAAGAGTCTACGAAACTCTGGAATTAGGGTGCTGAATATAATGTCAATCAACTAAGTGATAAATTTTATATTTGTCTATATTTCAGAGATGAGGTATTGTAACTGTCTACATTGAGCTGTGAAAGTTCAATCAGCTATCAGACAGGTCATCTAGGTTTTTGGAGGTACACACTTAAGCTGTATATAAGAAGAGGATTAATGCAAATATGAAATTTGTAACTATTTATATCGTTCAGACTGTTATCCTCATCTTTATTGCCATATTTACAACATTTTGGCAGTTGTACACTCTGACCTTCTTCAGGTAATGTGTGTTGGAATTTTGACCCAAACTCTTTTTGTCCGCACTGGTATGTTGTTCTAATTCCATGTGCTTTGCCTTTTTTGGATATCTCAGTATGAGTTAATTCCCTTTAGTAACTAAACTCTCCAAATTTTTTGTTTCCTCTGCTGTGGTCAAGTATTGAATTCATAAGCGTTGATCCAAAAAGTGCCTTGACCCAAAGAGTTGTGAGTTCAATACCTGACCACACCAGAGGAACAGAAACTTGAAGAGTTGGGTACTAAAGGAAATAACTAAAATTAACTGATACCAAGATATCCAAAATGTCATGGCCAGTTGAAATTAGAACAGCCAACCCCTGTGGATTAAAAGGGTTTTAGTCAGAATTCAAACATATATCATCTGATGAAAGTTGAAGTGTAGTGGCTGAAACATCAGGAATATGGCAATAAAGATGAGGACAACAGTCTCAATGATGTAAATAGTGTAAATTTTATATTTGCATTAATCCTCTTATATACAGTTTATGTGTGTACCTCCAAAAATCTAGATAACTACAGTCTGGTAGCTGATTTGCCCACTGATTGAGCTTTCACAGCTCAACAAGGGATGGAGACTGGGTTGTAACTTTCAATACCCCCAAAACAAAGCTAGGGACATCAGCATTGAGAAAAACCCTAAAATTTCCTCCAATCCTGCACTCTCTAAGGAACTCCTTGTCTCAAACGTCTATTGGGAGTAAAGCTCATTGCAGGCCTTATTTGGAGATGCTGACAAAACAGTCTGTTTCTTGTACCCCCACAGAAAATATCTGAGTCCTCCAGCCATGCTATATCTTTACAGAAGACAGGTTAGACCAAAAATGGAATATTTGTGGGTGGTGGAAGACCAAAGGATTTTTCAATTATTTTTTTTTTTTTTTTTTTTTTATCCTTTTTAGAACCTTAAAAATTTTGTTTTTCTCGTATCAGCAGGTTATCATAAATTACTGTGGGAAATTTTAGCTTTTGCAAAACAAAACATATGGATTTGGAAATTTTGAAAACAAAAAAAAAAAAAAAAAAATAATCAGAAAATTTTAATGAAACTTTCAGGAGTTATTCAGAAATGAGTGAAATTATAGTTTTTTTATTTTTTTTTATTTAAACATCTGTTATTCTCCTTTATTTAATTTTTATGAAATTGAGAAATTCTATTTTGTAGTGGTTAATGTTTATATTAGTTACAAAGACTCCTTGGAGAATTTAAATTCTGACAAACAGGTCCCCCCAGTTACAGAAAATCTGCTCTGAATCACAAAAAAAAAAAAATGAAATAAAACTATGACATTATTTAATTAGAATTTTATGTTTTACTTTTTATAAGTGTGTGTGTATATATATATATATATATATATATAAAATGTAGAGTGGATAAATGAAATGGCCAAATATAAGCAGGTGTGTATGTGTGTGCTGGTGTGTATACACTCAATGTGGTCATTCACTTCTGAGCGACAGTTCGGTTCAACTCTCTGTCTACGGACGGAGAGGAACTCGAAGGAGGCTACGCCGAAGGGTGGAGTCTCCTTTGGGGAGGTAAAACCGGCCCTGAACCCGTTTATACGGGTTCAAACGGGCTATTTTTTGGCCGAGCCTAATGGCTCGGAAATGCCCACGTTAAAAAGGCCTTGTGCCACATGACGCCCTCATGGGGGGACGACTAAATATAGTCATACAGAGCAAGCATATGTATTAATTAGTAGATATATGCATACTTAAGTTTTTGGCATGCAACTATAGTTTCAATGGATGGTGTTCCTAGTTTCTCGGGTGCAGAGTCTATCTAGAAACCCAGCAAAACTATAGTTGTATGACAAAAACCCAGGTGCACGTGCGCACGCACACACAGAGGGTGTAACAGCAAAATTGTCCATTTGTTAGATTAAGCTCTGTACTATTGTATCTTAGAAATGATTAAAGATATCTTACTAGAATGCTCCACTATATCTTCCCAACTGAGCAATGGTGAGAGGAAAAAAATTATTCAGACCTTCAGTAATGGCACCAACATTCATACTCTGGCTTCCATCTTCAAAGTCCATTCAAGAACCATCAAGAGAACGGTGAATAAGTTAAAAAACTGGATCAGGAGATCACAACAGGAGGAGCAATCATCATTTCAAATATGACAGCCCAAAGAGCAATGAAAAAAAGATTTGAAAATGAAATTGTATGGGAAATGTGGGGTACTTTGTTACTCAAAGCCAGAAAGTTAGGTTAGAGAGGGTGAAGATCATCTTGAATAATATTATATATATATATATATATATATATATATATATATATATATATATAGGGAAAAGGTTATAGTTGTTCCAATCAGAGAAAAGTGTATATTTTAAAAAGAGAGAAACTACAAACATTTTTGGTTATAATGTGGATTGTGTGTGTGTGTGACTTTCTTTAGGCAAAGAGTGGATATTTACATATATTAAAAGGAATTAATTTTTCTTATGTTTTTTCAAGGTGTAACCATTGCCTTTTTTTTTGTATAGTAGGGGTTACTACTACACAAAAAAAGAAAATGGTTAGACAAGGCATTGTAATTAAGTTTTTATTATATTTTTCTTGCATAAAAATCATTTCTTTTCTGGACAGTGTATAAGAACCGTTCAAATGTTCTATGGATACAAGCATTTTCCAACTAATCCATTAGCCAATATCAAGGATGTTTTTTGTTTAATGGAATATGTAGTTTTTGTATTTATTTTTTTTTTTTATATAGAAATAGGAATGTTTTAATTTATGAACACAGTCAGCACATTGTTAACTGTGCCCATAATTGATATCAATGAAATATATAGGGACATGGGGGAAAAACAAACATTTACAATTATAGATTGCGAGGAATGCTAAAGATGTTAAACTAAGTTTTAAATTGCCTTCGTAGATGTATCTTGACAATGTATTTCAGCTGACCAATGCTTTTGCTTTGGAGAACGTTTTTTTAAATATCCCACATTGTGATAGTCATAGATTTGTTAATAAAGTTGAAATGCAGTAGGAAGCTGGATGAAAATTTATTGTATGGACTCAGAAAATAGTGCATTTTCTATACATTCTATGTTACTTTGTTTTTAATTAAAACTATATTTTTAAGTTGTAATTATGGTCAGATACATTACAATGAATGACAAATACATGAAGTTGTTTTGCAAAAGATCCTTTTTTTTGTTCATATATTCTTCTATTTCAATTTCTAGAAGTTTCACTTTTGCATTCTTGTGACATATTACAGTTGACAGTATAAATTCTTTCCGGTTTTAGGCTGATATTTTGTTTTGTATTAAAATTTAGGCCTTATTGAACAATCAAATCACCATAATTATTGTTACTACTTTTAACGACTTAATTATAATTAAGTGAATTGCTTATTGAAGGTAGATCAAGCACAATAATAGTTGTGATTATCGTACTTAAATTATTCTTGGTTTTCTTCCAATTCTTTTTCATCACCATAATTGTCAACACTATAGGTGTGTTTGTCACAATTCCTTTCAGTCTTCTGATATTTTTTTTTTAACACTTTTGTATTCAAGCCCTCAAGTGGGCCCAGTAAATGGTAGTTAAGCCCCTATAAGGATTTTTTTGGGTGCTACTATATAGTATATCTTCTCCATTTTCTACTATGGTATGATATTTACCAACTGTTGTATGAAATAGGGTTAGAGGTTAAGAGTTAGGGTTAAAAGCAGTGAACTGGTTATGTATTTAAAAATCATTAACAATTTTATATATATATATATATATATAAATAAAAAAAAAACAAAACAAAAAACAACCATCAAGTGATTTTAATGTCTGTAAAATGATTTGGTGTCAGTTAAAAAAAAAAAAAAAACAAAAACAAATAGTAAAACTGGTTCTGAGCATTTTCCAACAATAATGAGTGCATCGTCATTTGCCACATCTAAGCTATGCTTGGAAAATCACTACGGTAGGTGGCAGAAAACTCTCGGTAGATATCATCCTACCTAGTATAAGGGTAGTAGCACCTATTTTTCTAACTTCGTAAGTTGCCTAAAATGCGTTCTCGATTCCTGGAAGTTGTGAGTTCGATTTCCAGGTGGAGCAATGAAGAAAGCTGATCGACAACAAGAAAGGTGACAGTTATTAGGAAGGTCACCGGATGTGACAAACAACATTGCACGCATGTGTTACTGAAGTAAAAAGAAAAAGAAACAACATAAAAATGTCATTGCTAGCTACCCCGACGAATAGTTACTTTAACTTTAACAGAACTAATAAGGAGAAAAGACGGGTTCGGACTTTGGCCTCCCATCTTCTATTTGAATTTTTACAAACTTCAACTCAACATCTGTGCTAAAATAATTTTAATTCACTTAATTGCTGTATTGGTCTAATCAAGCCCTCATCACCAACCAAGTGTCATCGATTTCATTTACATTAATGATTTGCGTAGCAAAAAAGCAGACTGAGGATTTTTAGTTTTGCAAAAAATTTCTTTTTAGTTTAAAAAATCAAATTAATACAGATCGAGCCAAAATTATATTTTGGGGGAAAGATGGAAATTTTTTTTTGCTTTGCTTAAAATTTTCGGATATATACTTTTTTTTATTATCATTTCATTTTAAAAATTTTTTTTTTTTCAGATTATATTGGATATCCTGAATCATACGACTTTTCAGCTTCTACAAAAAAACTCTTGACAGCACTTCAAGGTCACAATGACATACCCTGACTGACATGAACATTTCTTTTAGGCTCTTCAGAACCAATTTCAAATGTTTGAATATATTTTTTAAAATAAACGGTTTTTATAACTTTTTCTAGACTGCTTGCCTTAAAAAAAAAATAAAATAAAGTGACAAGTAAATTTTCTTAAAATTTGACATTATCTTTGTGACTGTGTAAAAAAACAAAACAAAAAAGTATTTATAACTTTTAAGGTTTCGATTTTTGTGGTTGCCGTTGACCTTTTCCTGCCGAAAAATATTTGTGTCCTTTTTTTTAACTATGTAAAACACGCCTTTGGGAGCAAAATTTGTCATTTCAATTTAATTTTTTAAAACCATCCCAGTTCACAGGTCATTTTTAAAAATTTTTTACTCGGCTCTGTATTTGGGTAAAAAACAAATGAAAGTTACCACAGAGAAGGCCCCCCCCAAAAAAAACAAACAAACACCACAAAATAATCTGGTTTAAATTGGATTTTGAATTGTCATGTCCTACCCTAGTAGACATCAAACGGAATAAAGAATTTATTTAAAAAAAAATAGCAACAAACTTTGAGACAGGTATCCATAAGAAAAAAAAAAAAAGACCTTTTAAAAATAAAAAATAATCGGATAATTAAAAAAAAGAAAAAAAAGAGAGAGCCTTCAGTCTACTTGTCTAACTACTAATTGTCACAATTTTATTAGAAGTTTCAAAAAAAGTAGAATATTTTTTCTTATTAAAAAGTAAACAGTCTATTTTGCAATGGACATAATTAATCGATGTTGCTTTTTGAGTGGAGGTACCCAGATTTAGGAGATGCTTAAAAATAATATACCTTGAAACTGAAAGCCAGGTGAATCATTATTTCCACCTGGGGAAAAAAGTAAAAGGTTTCTAATAAATATTTTAAATTATTGTTTCCTGTGTAAATAAGAAAACTAAAACTTTATATTAAATATTGTGCACATTAAAAAAAAAAAAGTGTTCTAAAATTGGTTGTGAAGTCGAAGATAAGAACGTGTTTTTTTTTTTCCTTATCTTCCTTTGCCGAAGAATTTTGTTATCCAGAAAGAAAATCGCAATCATCTGAGGAGAGGGAAAAAAACACGTGTGCGGAATATAACTTTTAGTTTTAATTACCAGTTAAAGTCAATTAACGATGAAAGATAGTTTACACATGTTAGTAAAACGATAGAGGCATTAGACTACACTAGAATATATTTTAAAATGTTGGCCAAATTACGAAAAGAAAGAGCATGTGGTCCCTAAATTAATAAAGAATGACCAAAAAATGGGGGATCAATAAAGAAAGGTGGTGGGGGAGAAGTGTATATATTTGATAACCGAATGACCAATATAAAACGCTTAATACTGTAAGTGATCACTAACCTTCGAAAGGGATGAATTATTAACCTTGGCGGTGGATCTAAATTGTAATAATCTCGAGGAAAGACATCCCGATCGGTCTGTTCAGTTGGCTATTATCGTTGGGAGTGTGCCAAAGCCGCAAGGGGAGATAAGCAATGTTCAACTTGGCCGGTACAAGAAGCCGGATTGTCTGTTCTTTCATCAATGAACTTCGTTTACCTCGTTGCTTCGCACCGGTAATAATCAAAGTTCAAATCTGAATCATAGTATTTTAAATGGAAAAATAGATTCCGATTAAATACAGAAGGGTCATGAAAAGGACGGTAAATTTTGGTTTTGTTTCTCGAGCGCTAATATCCCTTAAAATTTTCCCCAAATCGTCATAATTCCGTGCAAATGTACATGCTGAACTCGAAATACAACTGATCCACAAAAAGAGCTCAATGTATTTATTATAACAGAGCCAATAAATAGTATTTCCCAACAAAATCAAAAATTACCTCATATGGGTGGGGGTGTAAATAGATCTATTTCAACCGACGAAAGTTACGTCAGTCTTATTCAACCCCGGTGTATAGACTGATTTTGTGTCGGAATTAAAAATTTAACTTTGACAGCCGTCGAAAATTTTAACTTCCTACTGACTTGATGGACTACAAATTAACTTGTTACTTTGAATTGACCCTGATCCTGAGCATGACTCAACCATTTCACCTCCAACAGTGGACGTGACACATTTTTCGGCACTCATTCAACCACCATTAATGTAAATAACACATTAAAAATCTTTTAAAAATTCAATATTTGTCCTCAAGATGTGTTCTAAAGTCTGTTAGTAAATTTAAGGATTAATTTACTGGCTTTTCTGCTTTACAAAGCTTACATTCATTTTATGCTTCCTCGAACATTTGTCCCGCAAAAACAATATTTGGCAGAGAGTCATTTGATTCCGGGTAAAAAAGAGGAGGAGCGGTAATCCAACATTATCGATTTACCTAGCAGTTGAGGAAATTTTAAAAAGAATGCTACTCTACTACAATTATTGCCCGAAATAGTTTCCCTATTTTTTACTAATGGACCAGTTCACAAATTAGGAATATTTACTGCTAACTTGGAAGAGGAAAATAATCATATTATATGGTACATTGATGGTTAATGTTTGCTCCCTTTCATGTATTTAAAGGACTGCTCCCTCATTCGGAAAAGAAAAGTTACTTCCCTTTACACTAGGATATAGTTACAAAATAACAGAGGACTGGATGCTATGTTGCGATTAAATCCAATCTTTATAATGACTTTTTGTAGCAAATGTTTTGAATTTAGTTAATTATTCCAATTATAGTATCTATCAAATAATGCTTATTGTCCTTCTGGTTAACGGAAAAATATGAATTGAAAAAAAAATTTACCAATGTTTTATGTTCGTTTTTTCCCCGCAAAATGTAGAACGTGCTTGTTTTTTTTTTTTTTTTTTTTCGAGATTGATAAATTAATTTTTTTTAAAATCAGAACTTGTTGAATATTTGTTAACAGTTCAACGTTTATGGGTGGGGCAGAAAAGTGAAAACAAATCAAATTTTCTTTTTTACTTATTTTAGTTTCATTTTTTATTTCAAAGAGTAAAAAAAAACTAGTTTCATTTCGATGACAAGTGCTTGAAGTCGCTCTCTGCAAATATTGGCCTTTTTAAATTTCTTTTCGTGTGAGTTCATTTTAGAAATCATCAATTTTTCCCTTC